AATTAAATATTAAATAAAATATTAATTTAATTTAAAAGCTAAATATTAAATCAAATATTAATTCATTTTAGAAGCTGTATATTATACAAAATATTAATTAATTTTAAAAACTAAATAAAGCACTTGAATACTTTTTGGGAATTAATTACTTTCTGTTGCATTACCTTCCCATATTTTATGTGAAACGAAATAATATGCTAATACGTTTGACAGTAATGAAGAACGGTAAATGATTAATGCGTTAATCTGCATCGAAAATGTAAGTTATAACGTCGCCAATTACGTTTAATGTATTAATTTACGAAAATTGAAGAGTAATAAAAATCAATAAGCGATCGTTATATCGTATTAACTTAAATTAAACCTGTGTTATGATATTGACAACCGTGACTGATATACGATTTACACTGAAAATAAAATTGCAAACCCTTGTTTCGATTATAATTTAATTTCATTAATTTACTTTCGTAATTACAGACTTGTTTATACTGAAAATTTAATTATAAATTTATCTCTAAAAATTCGTATGCTATTAAATATAAGAAAAAATACGTTGCTTTCAAATTAAAAATTTATAATAGCGTGTGATATTATTATTAATTACTTTTTAAAGTATCATATTGTTTATTTTTACTTTTTACGTTAATCTCCTTGGTTAATTACAGTATGCAAAATAATTATGCCAGTGTTGCCTACTCTAGATCAATTATTGTAGTTCAAAATCCAAGAACAGTAATAATTACTAGATAAGTATGGTTAAAAGCGAAGTGGAATACTTACTTAGGTGATTCAGATTTGAAAATTCCAACTGGGTTTTCACAATAGCACAGTTAAAATAAAATAATAGTTTAAGCGTTAAAAAGATCTCATAAACTTGGTAATATATTAAATACAATCAATTTTATACATCTGGTAATATTTAAAATGAAATAATTTTCGAATACTTAATGATACTTTAAATAAAATGTATTTACTAATACATTAAATTATTATTATTAAGATATTATTGTATCATTGTTGTTATTATTATTATTAATAATTAATAATTAAGTAAAGTAAATGCAATAATACTTTAAATGTTAAAGAGATCTCATAAATTTAGTAATATATTAAATACAATCAATTTTATACATCTGATAATATTTAAAATGAAATAATTTTCAAATATTCAATGATACTTTAAATAAAATATATTCACTAATATGTTAAATTATTATTATTAACATATTATCGTATCATTGTTATTATTATATATATTGTATATATTTAATATTATATTAATATTAATGTGTTAAATAATTATCGAAATTTTTGAGTGAAAAGGGTTTCAATTTAGACGTGATTTTTTAGCAAAAGAAAATTAGGTTTATACGAAATGTATTTTAAGTGATATTTTTAATTTTTCAAAATGAAAATTAAGTGACTTTTACAATTGACTAATTATGAAAGTGGTGTAAGTCCATATACAGCCATATCAGTTCATATTATTTTAATTAAATTAAAATTAAAATTAATTTATTATATATTATATATACATTATTTTAATTAAATTAAAATTAAAATTAAAAGCCTAAAAGAAATTTATATAGTTAAATCACATATTGATAAATTAGTAGAAACATTGCCTGACTTGACCTGATAATTAACCTATATTTTTTAATTGACAAATATACTAGCCCTTAATTTTCTCGAAACAACGAAAATAGGACTTCCACCTCTGTCAAAATAAACTGTATTTACAATTTCGAATTTATTTATTCATTTATTTATTTATTTATTTATATATAATTAACGAGTAGCCCCATTAGTGTACATTTGTAGATTTAACAAGTTCTATACAAAGGACATTACATATGAGCCGTTCACTACACAAATCGATTAACTCCACTTTCTGAAAAATCTTAGATTTAAGTGTCAAAGCACTTACTATACTCATTTTATATTTAATATTTAAGATTTTTCAAAAAGTGAAATTAATCGATTGCAGTGAACGGTTCATATAAAGAACGTTACATATCAAATGCGAATGAAGAAGAGACAGCATAATTTAGACATATTTAGACAACAGTTTATGAAATGAATTAACCGATGCAGTGAAGAAATCTAGCTCGAAACTGGTCCTTTCTGCAAGTTCGCAAATTCGGTCTACAGGGTCGGTATTGGCGTAGTTGCAAGTATATTTGCAAGACAGGAATGATCGTTACGATCTCAGTGATCTAGCAGGCGAATAAAAGTTGATAGAGGAAAGTAGCGCGGAACGGTTAATGACGTCATTAATTAATTTAAATAAGAATTGTGGGTCACAGGAATTCAAAATTCCCGGCTATAACGCGTGAGCAACCAATAACGAAGATCGTTAGGGGTATCGTTAGGCTGAAGGCGTTACTTGTCTCGTGCTCCAGTCGCGAATTAACCGTGTTACTGAATAGTGCGTAAAGAGAGAGAGAGAGAGAGAGAGAGAGAGAGAGAGAGAGAGAGAGAGAGAAATACTGTACTTATATTATTTACCGTCTCATATCATTAAATATATATATATCTGTTCGTTTGTTACTGTACTTATAAAAATACGTGTCCGTCAATTCTATCTAACAAGAATAGTAGATCCGAAATCGTCCTACGAGCTTCAGATTTCAGGTTTAGTCTTTTTAAGATTGGTCCATAATCGTGATCGGTAAAGTCCATTCTGTGCTCGGATTTATAAGCTGCAAACCTCAGAAATTTATGTCGAATTCTTTCTATGCTAATTTTATATTTAATAAGATCAGGAGACCATATCGTGGAGATATATTCAAGACGTGATCTCACGAGAGAACAATAGAGTACAGGTAGCTCTTCTACAACACGGTTTCACTATAACACTATTCATAAATTACGGGAACACTCCTACAACACGACATCCTATAACACGTGTTGGAAGAAGATATGGCTCTCTTCGGTTGAAATAGGAAACGTGCGTGAATCGTCAGAAAATGAAATTGGTGGCATATTAGAACTTGCTAAATCAATCGGAGGCGAAGGTTTTGTGGATATGGCTATCGAGGACGTTCGAGATTTATTAGTGGAAGAAGAACTCGACGAAGCGGATTTGATGGAAATGGCATCTGAAGCTGTAAATCAAATCGATTCCGAGGACACTAGCACCGATGAAGATTGCGCAGTTAATAATTTAACATTAAAAAATTACAAGAAGGCCTAAGCTCAGCTGAAAATCTCGAGTCATTTTTCTCAAATGCAGACCCTTCCGCTGAAAGAAGTCGAAAATTCAAAAGGGAGCTGCAAAACTGTTTACCTCTGTACCGAGAAATTTACAATGACCTGGTAAGAACCAGCAGGCAAAGTGAAATTACAGATTTTTTTAAGAGGAAAGAAGATGCAAGAACTTTAAACGAAGAAAAATGTTCTGAAAGCGAAGGCGATATCATTCCACCGAAAAAACGTTCTCGGTTGATTATACTGAGCAGTGACGACGAAGAAATTTATTAAATTAAAGTTGCGTTAAATTAAAATAATATTTTTGTTTCTTTTTTGTTGTGTTGTACATACATCTATATTTTTAATAAAAATTAAGTTGTTTATGTAGAATTAAAAAAAAATTTGTTTTTAATAAGTTTTCGGAACGTAACCCCCCTTTTTGTACTGGCTCTGGGTCTCGTGCAACACGGTTTCATACAGCACGGCATTTTCTAGGAACCTATCTACCGTGTTATAGGAGGGTTACCTGTAGTTTGATGCATTGGATATTATTGAAGTCTGTAGCACAGAGTTGCGTCTTTTTAACCTTTTAAGCAAACGTGCGACGTGTTCCTGTCCATAATTCTTACGATCTCTCGCATTCACGTTTTTCTCAATTTTCAGATCACCGTATTCGGTTTTGGGGCAGCTGTCACTGTTCTCATAACCGATATCGCCAAGTACACGATCGGCCGGCTGAGACCCCATTTCATGACTCTCTGTGTGCCAAACGTCAATTGTAGCCTGATCGAGAACCATCACAGGTACATCATGGACTACTCGTGCACCGAGAACATCTCGGCCAGGCTTCTGAAGGAGCTCAGGTAAATATTTCTTTTTGTACTGCGCGAAATCTGTGACCCTTTTGTTCGACAGCGCGGAAACGGATGTTTAAAACTGCAATAAAGATCGAGCAACTTTCGTTCGCCTTGGATCTGACAAGTTAATTAGTCCGTCGAGGTACAGGTCAGCGAATACACGGTGTCCAATTTCCACCGATAAATTACTCGTCAACCACTCGCTGTACCAAAATGTTTAGCTCTTGAATGGTCTCGCTCTTGACTAACAAAACCGAACAAAAATTGTCGAAGAAAGTATTAACCCATTAGCTGCCACGATCCCCATTTGGAGATTTGGAGCATCGTGTTATAGGAGCCTCGTATATGTTTATAAGGTTAGAATAGTAATAAAGAAGATGGGATTGTCGATTAGTCGATATCTTATCGATTCTTTATTAATATTTGACGACATATGTATAATATCGCTAACACTAGGATAACCAACATATAACGAGAAACTAAATGCATCGAAGATAAGAATGGTAGCATTAGGAGGAAGACAAATAATTATAGATGATTATGCTCCTACCTAAATAAAATTCGATATTAATTTTGTCAGAAATTGCAAAAATAAAATATTTGAAAAATATCCGAGTTATTTTGACCTCTTTAGAGGTACTATGCAGGAAATCACTTTTCAAAATTAATTGAAATTTAAGTTAATTAATCTTTTTTTTATAATTTGTATTTCACCAGTTCTAGTGCAGAATGTAACGAAAGAACTTAAAGCAGTTGGTTTTGTCTTTCTTTATAACGGGAGAAAATATTTGTTTTAGTTAGGGATGGGTCGTGAGCTAATTTCTAGATTCGCGAGATTCGAATGTGAAACTTTGCGAGGTCTCAAAACCCTCGAAACTTTTGAAACTTTCGAAATTCTGAATACTTACTTTCTCCTTATGCTTCTGAGAACTATCCATTTTGTAAGGAATTGAAATCGTAACTTTTTTTTTTAGATAAAATAAATTTTCAGAATTCAGTATACCGATTCAAAAATAAATAAATAGTCAACAATAAATAGTGAATTTTAAAATAGATGTTGGGGAAGAATTTATTAACCCATTAGCTGCCACGATCCCCATTTGGGGATTTTGGAATTTTACGTACACCACTCGGCGCCAAAAATATATTTGGTACGCCTGACAGTTTAGTTTTACTCTATATATATCAGTCAATATTGTATGTAGCAAAAAGTGTGTATTCTGTGCTTCGTTTCTATACAACAAGCGAAGAAATTTGAAATTCGTGTGCAAGTTGAACGGAACAGAATTGTCATATTTGAAGCATTATATTTTTGGTTTGGTTTTTATATTATAATGAAATACCGTACATAAATATGTAATTTAGAGGTTATAGTAACGATTTGTTACTTACTCAGTCTTTTGTTTTTTATTGAAATGATTTTATCGATCATTTTATAACGATACCCATTTTGGGACTTTTTCAAAAATATCAAATATTTTCAAAACGAAACATAATTTGAATATAAGTATACCGTTACACAACCTTTTGTGCATATATATATATAACTTATCCGGCCAAAAATTACAAAAAAATGAAATTTAGCAGTTAATGGGTTAAATAATGGTAAGATGCTTAAAATCAACATTGCCAATTCCTTGTTCACTGTCGTAGAACATGATGTCAGTTGTTTAAATTATTAACACGAATTTCTCTTTGATAGTAATAATAAAAATTGCAAAACTGCAATTTCATAGTAGAACAAGAATGATTTGAATGAAACTTTGTAGAATAGAACAGCGGAGAAAATTAATACATACGTGGTTTTTCTTTAGTCACTGTGATTTGGATCTAAGGGATGAAACTGTGTTTCAAAAATCGGTTCCCAAAATATTAATTAATTAATTAATAATTAATTAATGAATAAAATAAACTATTTAAAATATTTTCTTCTAACGCTAAACCATCATGATTGATAAAATGGCAGATAGATGGAAAAATGGAGAAAGGATAACGTCAAAGAAAATGGAATAAACGAAGATATTGGAAAATTATATTCCTGATACTATTACATCATATCGTATATTAATTAATATCAATTAATTAATATTATTTAATATCGTATATTAAAAGAAAAATCGAGAAGTCAAGTGGTCAAAGTGATAACATTGAATGTAGAATTTGTATTCAAATATCTGAAGGTTTAGTAGGTGTTAATAAATAAGTTAATAAATTTAATCTATAATAGTTAATAATTAGTGTTAATATATCGATTAATATTTATTAAAAGCTTCCTTTTCTGTCTCTAATTATTTTCGAGTTTGCATTTCGGGAAACTATCTTTGGACCAAAATTTCATTCCTTAATCCTTTCACGAGTATTTCGGCAGACTTAAGTTATTTTTCATTTAACTCACTAGCGCCACCACGACCTGTATCTGCGATAAATGTAATATAACGTAAATATCGTATATCTCGTCGAATTATTTTCTAATTTTACTGTTATAATCTTCGAATTTTCTTCTTACTGTGTGTGTCATATTGTTTACACAATATTGTTTTCACAAATTTTTCGATTTGCATATTTGTACGACCGTACTCGTGAAAAAGTTAAACTCAAGTTAAAATACTTAAAAAGAATATATATGTATTATCTTTGCTCATTACTGTACATACCCACAATGTTTTATTTAAATCAGATCTATTTTGTATAAGTATAAAATTATGGTCCACGAATTTTTATTATTGCAGGCAAGATATAATACATTTAAATAATTTTGAAAATTTGTTATATGCACTATGATAAGAAGCAAATAATAAACAACGTTGACTTTAATTCTTTTACACTAATACAATATTTTTTTGTTCAGTTTTGCTTGTCACTGTAAGATAATGTAACCTAATTTTTCTGTAGTTGAACACGTTGAATGTTATTTTTATTTTTTTAAATGGAATCTGCGTTTTCTTTTATTCAATGATGTACATAGAATTGATATATACAGTGTTAATTTTTATACGTTTATTTTAATTAAATCAAATAATTTGTAGTCGACAATGAAATGATCATGCGAATTTTGATTATGGGAATGCGCGATTATTCGAATATAGTGATCGAGTATTGCATTATGTATAATAAGTACAACGTCATAATGGAATAGGAGCTATATAGGTGTTCATACTTAAAGCGACAAACCAATATGTATTTTCAAAAAATCGATTTTTTTATTGTCTTAAAAAATTCTCCATCTTTTGCTACGTCAAGTGCAGAAAATTCCAATTTGAATTTCGAAAAGCTCGCATCACTACCCTTTCTACTGCTAGCCCGAAATTGTTTAACCTTAATTTTCTCGAGCACCACTTTTGATCATGATGAACAGCATAACAAAAGAACCGAAGTTCGAATCACTATGAAATTTTTGGAGCACGTGTCCAAGACACATGGCTGTAGCACTGACCACTGATTGGGAAGCTAAAAATTCGGAAAATTTTCAGAAAAATTGTTTCTTAGAAACGATTTGCCTTATTCTATCATCTTCAACTTTGTGATTTTTCTTTAAACTTGTTTGAAGCTCTAAATTTGTTAACCGTGGTCAGTGCATAGCCACATTGTTTGCCTTTACTCGCCACATTTTTTCGTCCTTTGCAAACTTTTCCCCCGCGCTGTATCCTGTCTACCATCGAGATCCGCTCCATTTTGCAGATGATTAATTCAAAATTTTTTTTCGGGCATTTCTATTGTGATATTTTTTATCTCAATTTTTTTACGAGTAGCTCAAGGTTGAATGTAAAACGTGTGAAAAATTTGCACGGCTACCTTCTTCCAATCATATTCTACGAATTTTTAAAGAAGGCTTATGATAGAGGTTATGTCATACTGGTCCAGAAGAAACATTTATAATCGACAAATTTTTAATTTCTGGTTAATTTATATTGATTTATATTAATTTATATTAATTTATATTCCAAATTTTCTTTCTTCACACCGGTTTTCTTATTCAGTTAATTCGAAAAATCCACGTTCTACTGTAATTATGTTTCCTAGTTCGAAATCGTTCTTACGAGTCACCCTGTATATCGTGAGAAGAGTCGTGAGGTCGAGTGACGGAAACGATAACGTCGAATGCTGAAGTTTTAATTAAAACTGTAAAAACGGTCTAGACTGTGGTGTAGGGTTAGTGTCAACGCTGTAGCTATTGATCTGCAGTGTATAGTTAAATACACTATAGATAAATGATAATAATTGAAGTCGTACGATGAAGCTAAATAGGTATATACAGGGTGTCTCGGGGCAAGTGCTGTTCGATTTGGTTACCAAATAATAAACAATGGGACAATATAACCAAATTGTTTAATTTAGTGTTAGTTAGGGTTAGTGTGAACGCTGTAGCTAATGATCTGCAATGTATAGTTAAATACACTATAGATAAATGATAATAATTGAAGTCGTACGATGAAGCTAAATAGGTATATACAGGGTGTCTCGTGGTAAAGAACTTGTCGCAAGTACTGTTCAATTTAGTTGCCAAGCAATAAACAATTGGACAATATAACCAAATTGTTTAACTATAATTTTTCAAGGTCATTCCAAAGTCATATTATATTTTTTAAATCAAATGTTAAATTTTGTTGATCTTTGATATTACATGCTGGACATTAATTCTCTGCCACAAAAGCTCGTTCGTGTTTGCAACCTTGGATTACCTCAAGGTCATTTTAAAAACATATACCAGACTTGTTCTTCCCTGCTTTTCCATAGTACCAAAATAAAAATACAGCACTGTATTTGAAAATCATGAAGTGGCTCTGAAATAATGTTGGAGTAAGTTTGAAAAATTAAAGGTTCAAAATTTCCAGTGTCATAGTGATATTTTACGTAAGAAATTCGAAGTGTTTTTAGTTATATTAAATATAACTAAATAGAACTAATATTTAATTATTAATAATTAATAATTATATTAAAAATTCTACGTTCAGTGTTTAATAGTTATATTAAATGGTGCATCTGTTTATTGTAGGACACCCTGTATA